TTTGTTATATGTTCGTCACCGTTTCAGGACGGCCCGCAACATTTCTTGAGGATTTTAGGGTCACGTGGGCGGATAACCATGTTAGGCAACTCAACGGTGGAAGGGGAATTCAACTCGTTCTCGACCAAAGTTCAGGTATAGTAACGTTTTAAATTATCGATCAATCTAAAAACTTAAGTTGATATGATATAGAATACTTCAACCGTCACACATGTGAGCGTGTTGTTCATAAGAACATAATTTTAAGGATTGAATGTTGATGAATTATAAGGATGTGGGTTTGCTTCAAAACGTCAATACTTATTTGGAAAAGTGAGCATGAAGATCAAACTCGTCCCTGGTGACTCTGCGGGAACAGTCACTGCCTTTTATGTAAGTTATCGTTAAACATAGAGAAATTGGCTTAGTTTTGGTATTACATAAGTTGAAATAGAATCAAATCAAATCATAATGTTTCATTGCAGATGAACTCAGACACAGATACTATACGTGATGAATTAGACTTCGAGTTCTTGGGAAATAGGACAGGACAACCTTATACCGTTCAAACGAACATCTATGCTCATGGAAAGGGGGACAAAGAGCAAAGAGTGAACCTTTGGTTCGACCCTGCTGCTGATTTTCATACTTATTCAATTATGTGGACTCATTCGATAATCATGTAAGTTATGGATATATAGGCATAGTTTTGGGTTGCTATAGCTTTTAAAATAATTAGTGATAAAGGTGTTTAAGATTTTTGATTGATTGATAATTAATATGAGATCTCAAATTGGTGGGAGAGGGGAACGAATCATTTTTTATAAGGTGTGAAAACCTCTCCCTTAGACTGTTTTAAATATAATATCTACTAGCTGGAAGCGGGCGGTTACAAATGGTATCAGAGTCAAACACCAGCCGGTATCCAATATGCTAACAAGGGCGTTGGACCTCGAAAGGGGTGGATTGTGAGATCTCACGTCGATTGAAGAGAGAAACGAGTGCATTCTTTATAAGGGTGTGGAAACTTCTCTAACAAATAAATTTTAAGACGGATAATATCTGTTAGTGGTGGACTTTGACTAATATATTAGGTATATTCGATGAAATGGGGTTTTTGTTGATACATATATTTTAATTTGTATGTAGCTTCGCTGTGGATGAGATCCCCATAAGGGTATACAAGAACAACGAAGCCAAAGGGATCCCATACCCAAAGCAACAGCCGATGGGAGTGTACTCGACGCTATGGGAAGCCGACGACTGGGCCACAAGAGGTGGGTTGGAGAAAATTGATTGGAGGAAAGCCCCATTCTATGCTTATTACAAAGACTTCGACATTGAGGGATGCCCTGTCCCAGGGCCATCGAGCTGCCCTTCGAACCCCAACAACTGGTGGGAAGGGCCTGCCTACAAGGCACTAACCCCTACGCAAGCCAAGAACTACCAATGGGTGAAAGCCAATCATATGATCTATGACTATTGCACCGACAAATCTCGTTACCCTCAAACCCCAAAGGAGTGTGCTTTGGACAATCTTTGAAGCACGATGGACTTAAGATAATTACATACATATATATATATATTTCAAACAATTGGGTGTGTGCTACATATAATATATCGGTCTCTTTTTATGTATTGGGTTTTATGAAATTAAAGATTTGATATTTCATTTTGGGTACACTAACGTTCTACTCGAACTATGTTAGTTTGAATTCGAATAGATAAGAATATGAAATTGTGCATGTCCATAAATGAGTTGTCAAAACTTTATAAAAGGTATTATAAAAGATATACGACGTACGTTTTTGTAAGCTATTAATTAGTTGTTGTAGAGCAAACATTATTTATTATCCTAACTTCGAACTCTTTTTGTTAGATAACATATGTGTAACATCCGAGTTACTATAGAAATTAAAAAGTTATATTTTTCATTTTAAAGTCGAACTTTTAAAATTTTATTGTGGGTTTTAGAGATTAAATTCAAGATTAGGTTGATGATAATCCTAGGAACTCAAGAAAAATATAAAATAAAATAGTAAAAATTTGGGAAAATCGGTCAAAGTCAACCCCGAGAGAGTAAATCCGTCATTGCGACCCTTCTAGCCTAGAAAGAAAAGGAAAAGTGAGGAAAAAGAAAAAGAAAATGCGGGTTAAGGGTTCTTAAGAGAGAGTTTCAAACGGAAAGTCGAAATCCGCTTCAATCCAAACTGTACTTAGAAGTAGGAATTTATTTTTACACGGATTTTTCATAGGGAATTTGTAGGGATCGGGTACCCTACGAAAAAAAATTCAATCTTTTTATATAGTTAAATTAAAAAAAAAAAATCATTCTAAATCATTTTTTAAGGGATAATTTTTATATTTCAATATAATTTCTAATTATAAAGTTTAACCTAATTTCTAAAAACTCAAATTTTAATATTATAGGATAATATGCTCCAACACATATATAAAGTTAGCAAGGCAGTTCGGTTTCCATCCTCCGTCCCGTTTAACTAACAAATAAGAATTTATCTCCACTCCATCCCTCTTGTATTTAAACAGAGATTCTCAACTCCATTTGGGACAGATCTCGTTAGATCAGATTATCGGTTCACTCGTTATATCAAATGACCCAATAAGCCCATCGAGCTCCATTATTGCTTCAGCCCAATTCCAAATACGAAACTCCAACTCAAATAAGGAAAAAATTAGACGATTTTCTTCTTCTTTTTTTTTTTTTTTTACCATTATTACTCAACTTTTAGGTAGCTGGAAGAAAGAAAAATGTAACACAAATGCTCTCATTTCGTGGAATTTTTAATCTCATTTCGAATCACTCTTATTTGAACGTGGTCTAACTTCATTCATATGCTTCCATTTTACTCGAACATCATAAAAATATGATCATCGTTCAAATGTAATCTCACTCAATTCATATAATTCTATTTTACCCGAACTTCACAAAAACATGATCATCATCTGACGTTATCCAACAAAGAAGACGCCAAAACAAAACAAAAGCAAGTTGAGCTTTAAAACCTTTTGTAGACCCTCCAAACAAAATGATCGTATTGATATTGATGACTCGAAATGACCTAAAACCAAAGGGGGAGAGAAGAGTAAAGAACGAGAGTCAATGAATGGGGCCAAAAGGAAGGGGGGGCCTAAATGAAAGCTTGGATTCAAGCAGCATGGGAGATGGAAGAAGAAGAAGAGCAAGAAGAATACATAGATAAAAGAGAGCGTGTTGAGTTGATATGCTCACATGGGCATTCTTTCGAAGACAATACAGCAACCAAAGAGTATATGGGGCATACAAGGTTGGTGGTTTGAAGAAAATTTGTTTAGCTCGATGATACGAATCTCTTCAAGAAAAGCAACGTCTCTCACAATGTCTAAAATGATAGTCGGGAGAAATCACTTTGTCTTGAAGCTTTTTGATATGAACCAAGAGACATCAATCATACAATATACTTTAATGAAGATGTGAAGAAAATGCTGTTGAAATTATCAAAAGATATTTCAATTCATGCCACAAGAAGTTTTATTGTTATAAATTTCGGTGGATTACAATTTAGAGTAATTTAGAGTTATTGTATTTCATTAATGTATTTTAAGACATTTTATTTACTTTAGGTTACATTTACATCAGGTTAATTATGACCATAAAGTATGAATGTTACCACTCTTGTAATGCTTTTAATAGTTTCATTTCGAGGCTATATAAAGTCATGTATGTTATATTTGTAGTAAAAAAAGCATTTGTGTTTTCTTTAGCCAACGGCTAAGTTTCTTTTCAATTTCATGTAGTTTAGGTTGCATGTAGAATCATTCAAGCTCGACATGATCAATATTTTTCTAGTGGAGTGATTCGAATCTCAAACAAATGTTATTGCGTTAAGATATTTGATCAACAAAAATCATTCAAGCTAGACACGATCGATCTTACTTGTGGAGTGATTCGAATCTCAAACAATGTTATTACCTTGAGATATTCAATCAATAAGGTAATCCAAATCTTACTCTCCTTGTAGTGATTTCCACATATCACTTTTGATCGACCTGTTGAATCTTTGGAGGGTTAGAAACCCAAAGTTCGTCTCGATGTTTGGGCCAAAACTCGTCGATATTTAGATTTGTTAGAGCTCCATCATGCTTGTCCTTTTCAGAATTCATCTTGATGTTTGGATACGAGCTCGATTATTAAGTTATTATCCAAATCTCTTCTTATCTCAACTCATCTGATCGCTCATAAACTCCTTTCACTCCGCTCACTTTTTCGAGTTTCTTCTATCAACATATATAGACTATTAATCAAATCTAGACTAAAGAAGGCAATCTGGTTGGAGTTGGATTGGGTGGGTTGTGAATGAAGCAAGCGAAGAACTCTCCAGCACCACACCCAAGTTGGTGGAAAGTGGAGAGCTCTCGGGATCCACAAGCAAATGCCATTGTTTTCATACTGCCGGCGACAACACACGATGCCACTTAACAAAAACATGCTTTCGTTGGGTTTGACGCAACATAAACCGACCATGCATGCTTTGTTATTTATTAACTTCACCCTTAATTTCTCCCAAACCCTACCCTTTTCCACTCTCAACGGGATACATGTTCACACTTATAATATTATATTTCGAGAATATGCTTAAAGTGAACAATATCGTATCATTATTGTGGAGGATTGTGGTTCCTAACCGCTACTCTTTTTGATGAATGGTTAAGATTTCACCCTCGAATTCATTATTAAATGTCGATATAATTATATTTGTAGTTCAAATAAGCTTGATATAAGAAAATTAGAGTAAGATAACGTAGGTTTAATATTGAAATTGAGATGAATTACAAATGACACTGCTAATCCATATGGATTGAGTGCACAAGATGAGTTACAGACGTCACTGCTAATCCACGTGGATTGAGTGCATGAACTCTTTTTTTTTTTTTAACATAGAGATTCGAATTTCTCTCTCACAAATGAGTAAAAAAACACAAAGAGGTGAAGAAATTAAATGGGTAAAATATGTTGCACCAAGCTATCGATCACGTGATTCGCTACTGCGATCATGAATCGATAACCGAAAAACCCATTTAGCCACTGACTTCCTCTTCGTGTCGAGGTTGTTTGAAGTAGAATTAACATTCCGAGATCGAATCCAAGTAGAATTTAGCTTAGTAGTGGTGGAGTCAACCACGAAAGCCTTGAATCTCTTCATTGCGAGATCCAAAGTAGCCTCAGACATGTTGGCAAAACAAACACGAAACCAACCGGGTTCGGAGCAATGGCACGATTGACTGGGCGACACGTTTAAGCGCACCTCGAACACAATCTTCCTCCAAAGCTCCATTTCTGCCTCAAACGTATTAGCTCCCAACAAATGCCTCATATCTACCCAAGAAAATAGTCCTGCATTCCCTTTATGGCACTTAATTCCAGCCTTTTCCAGCCCATCCACCAGCATTCTCTGTCTTTTCTTCAGCCTCATTTGATTCTCCCTTATGTACTTCCTCCTAAACGTCTCGTCGGACAACATCACCGATAAAAGATACTGCGTTTGCGACGAAACCAACCCAAAGCTCGACATTTTCGTTGCAGCAGCTACTACTACCTCGTCATTTGAATACACCGCTCCAACTCGAAACCCCGGCAAGCCGAGATCTTTCGAAAGGCTATAAACGATATGAACTTGTTTTCGGATTTGGTCATTGTGTTTGTAGCTTTGGTTGAGGATTTCCATGACACTTACAAAGGCTGGGGTTTGAAAAACAGTGCCTGAATAAATCTCGTCGCTGATTAAGTGAAGGTTTTTTGATGCAATGAATTGGAGTAGAAGGTTGAGTTCTTGAGTGCTGATTGTGGTTCCTAATGGGTTTGATGGGTTCGTGACCAGCACTCCTTTAACCTTGAGGTTGCGATTTTGGGCGCTTTGGTAGGCTTCTAACAATGCTGGCTTTGTGATTTTGAAGCCATTCGAGCTCGAGCATTGGATGGGCACGATCTCTATCCCCGTTCTCCATTTCAAATCTCTATCAAATCTGTATTAAGTAACGTCAAGAATGAGAAACACAAATAGAATTGAGTATTCATATAAACCGTTATATAAAATATATTTCACGTATACAATAAAATATATTTCACGAATATCTTTATATCTTAAATCAAATTTCATAATAAGATATAAAATCAAAACGAGGTTTTTACACGTACCCGGGATAGTATGGGGTAGGTAGAAGGAAGGCGTCGCCCGGTTCAGCCAAGCAGAACATAAGAGTCTCGTTAGCCGAGGTGGCACCAGCCGTGAGGACTATGTGGTCAGGATCGAACGTTACTTTGTTGTCTCTAATTTCCGACATGAACTCAGCCAATGCCTATATGAAACATTAAATTAGCTCCAAAAAACATGTCATGATGATCAGCTTAGGGTTAGGCAGATAATAAAAAACGTACCTTTTTGAATGCTGGCAAGCCATTGTAGTCTTGAAATAGAGCAAGTTCTTTAAAAATGGATTTGCCATCTCTTTTAAAACCCGCTGCATCTGGGTTCTCCTCGAGCCACCTCTCCACGAGGTCGAAGCATAACTATATCATCAAAATATACAACAAAAAATCATTAATTAAGATCTCAGGTCGATTGGAGAGGGTAACAGAAGTGTCAGAGAGACATAGGGCCCCAAAATGAAATGGAATGTGAGATCTCACATTTTAAGAACCGAACAATATCTTACCTGATTTTCTGCGAGACCCATTTGGATAATCCCGTTAGGGTTTCGAATCTCGTGGTAAGGATTCTTCTCGTATTCTTCCCAGCCTAAGAAGTAGGAGGAATCTTGACCATGGGAGTTGCACGTAGCTTTTGTAGACAACAGCCCCATGCTTGTTTCTTGTTCTCCTTTGTGAGGAATGCAAGAATTGAGAGTGAACATTGAAGGGTTGTGAATGTTTAAAGAGTAGTGAGGATGTCCATTGCAGACACAACATGAGGTATTTATAGACATCTTTGTTAAGGAATGACACGTGGAAAAGCATATGCTCTTTCCGTCACCAAGGAAACACCTCAGCACATCTATTTTCTTCCTTCCCTAAGTATTGATGCATATAAAAATAATATAACCCACCACCCCACTTTGCCTCCCATATAATTTAAACTCCCTTTATCTAAAATTAGAATTCACCCTATCATTCAACCGACACTCCATTTAATACATTCTCATTAGGATACCCGATACTCGATCTTGAATTTGAGTAGATGATAACTAAGAAAAGCTTAAAAGAATTGAAAGTACACGAACTTAAGCATGTTTTATTGTGAGTAACTCTATTTTGAGTGATCTCTGGTGAATTTTTCGATAAGATCCCACATTCTTGATAAGCATGTTTTAAAGTCTTGAGTAGAAGCCGTTTAAAAACAACAATATTTGTTAGTGGTGGGCTTAGAATGTTACAAATGGTATTATAGCAAGACATAAAATGGTGTGTCAGCAAGAACGTTAGGCTCTCAAGAAGGATGAATTGTGAGATCTCACATTAGTTGAAGAGGAGAACGAAACGTTTCTTATAACAACGTAAAAAGGGTATGTACTAGTTCGTGGAAATAGTTTTTACGATACTAAATAATTCTGACACGAGTCGATTAATTGAAATATATATTAGAAAGAGAGTATATAGGACCCGTACCGACATGAAATCTTGGCAAAGGTGTAGAAAAGAAGAGAGAGAGAGAAGCCATGGGAGAAGCAGCATCGCGTTGTTTGTCGGTCATTTATGACAATTCTTATAACCTCTCCATTAGGCCTTGTTTCTTATTTCCTAGAAATATATAAACTCACATGAATTAAATATTTCTTACTTAAAAGTTAAAGATTTAATAAAAAAATTATATTTGTATATTCATAAACTTAGTATTAAGTTCTTAATTAAGATTTTGAATTCGAATCTCGAATCTTGAGTATGAAGCGTTACTGGCTATATATTTAGCAAAATGAATATTGTTTCAATTATCATTAAATGGAAGTCGTCTCGAGGCCCTCTGAATGGGAGACAAACCGAGGGAGCCCCCCAGCCCCCCTACCCACCAATTTTCGTTTTTTTTCAATGCATGTTATATTTAAAAAAAAAATCGAAAATAAAAGTAAAATAACTATCTCGTGATAACGTTTAGATGCAATTTTGTAAATTTGAATGTTCTTTAATACATATTAGATAGTCAACCTTAAGTCCGCCGCTAGTAGATATTATCCGTTGATCCGTTATGTCTACAGATAGAGGTTTTCACATCTTTATAAGGAATACTCCGTTTCCCTCTCAAACCAATGTGGGATCTCATCGTTTATCTTTCGTGTATCTAACATATAACATACAAAATGATTGTCTTTTCGAACAATTATAACAATTTTAAACTAGTTTATGGCAAGACGATTGATTATAAAATTTGAAACGTTTTAAAACGATGCAAGTGAATCTGAAGGGGAAATCAATTACGACGTCAAAAGATAGCTCGAGAACAAAGGCAAAAGGGAAAATTTTGTAAAGGGGACAACAAATTTGTGTGTCATAAAAGTTTGGTGAGCTTATAATGCAAATATGGTTATAATGTTCTTGTTTTGTTTGTGTTTTGGATAAGTTATCTGGGAGAAGTCTTGGTGTTTTGTGTGGGAGAAAGAAAAGAAAAGCATTACCCGAAGCACGTGGTTTTGTAGTAGAAGGGAGTTATTAGGGCATGTGAAGGGATTGCCCCACGAAGAGAAGGAATTGGAAGGGCCATTTGGGTTTTGGAGGTGACAACGTCTATGATCCTCACGTTACTCTATTCCCCCTTTGTGCCCTTCCTCAAAGGAGGCATGCCCATGGTCCATTTCTTTACCCATTTCTCCTATCTATCTTAGTTTTTGTCTTCTTTTTCTAGACGATTAAGTAGTGTCAAATGGCGTTATGGCTAACTAGGTCGACCAAAGTTACAATGGTGTGTTTTTGTTTTTGTTTTTGTTTAGGTTTAACTTCGTATACTAGGGATGATAAAGTATTCACGGCCCAAGTCCACCGCTAGCAGATATTGTATTCTCTAGTCACAATCGCAATCGCACTTTTGATGGCACTCACTTTCCAGCAATAAGTGAGCTAAGTCAATTCGTTCTTACGTCGCCTACGACCAAGCGACATATGCTCGAGCCTCTGGCCTCGGTTTAAGAAGAAGGTTTTAGAAAACAAGCAATAAGTGAGCTAAGTCAATTCGTTCTTATGTTGCCTACGGCCAAGCGATATATGCTCGAGCCTCTGGCCTCGGTTTAAGAATAAGGTTTTAGAAAACGAGGGCAGAGAGAGATTTTCGAAAGAGGTGTTATATATGCAAGCAAGAGAGTAACAACAGTATATAAGTATATAACTATTGGTAGGGAGAAGTTGACAAACACCCTTAAGGGTATTTCGTTCTCCTCTCAACCAATGTGAGATATCACAATTCACCCCCCTTCAGGGCCTAGAGTCCTTACTAGCATACTGCCTTGTGTCTACCCCATTCGGGGAACAGCCTCCTTGCTAGCACATTACCTGGTGTCGGACTCTAATACCATTTGTAATAGCCCAAGCCCACTACTAGCCGATATTGTCCTCTTTGGGCTTTTCCTTTCGAGCTTTCCCTTAAGATTTTAAAACGAGTATGCTAGAGAAAGATTTACACAACCTTACAAAGGGGGTTTCGTTCTCCTCCCCAATCAACGTGGGATAGTACAAAATAAGTCATAATTTAGATGAAAAATTGAAATTTCAATAGCTTTTCAAGATAGTTTTTACCAATTTTATAAACACAACCTTACGTTAGACAGAAAACGTGCTTTTATTGATATATCTTGGTGTAAAGAATAGGGATCGGAGGAAATTAAGATATCTCGTCATAGGACTCATTGGGATAAGTGGCCAAACTATCAATTCATTATATAAACAATGGTACCATTTTATTTAACATGAATGAAACAAAATAAAAGTTAAAACTATTGATCATAGTCTCTCCTCTCTCTCCCTTCTGCCCAATATTCTTTGAATTTGAGCCCATTTACCTTCCCACATTCATACTCACCCCACGACCCTCCTCCAATTACGATCTTCCACAATAGTATGATATTTTTTACTTTTGAGTATAAGCTTTTATGATCTTCCACAATAGAGATAGTATTTCTTGTTTATACACATGATTTTCCTCTTAATTAGTCGATGTGAATCTCCTCTCAAGGATCCTCAATATTTGAAACGATCCTTGTTTAAGCTTTTGTAATGTCAGTTGCATTTATGTTGGAATGAGAAAGTTTAAACGTATAAAGCACGGCATAAATATCTGTCCTTTCAAATCATTTATAAGGTCAAAATCTCCTTTGTCATTATTGTGAGAAATACTCTACATTACCACATCTATTAAAGAACTTCGGTTAGTTTGAAATCGAGCTAACTTTGTTGCTTATCCATCATAAACTCAGGAATGTACGAGAGAGACTTCCATATGTAAATAAACAAAAGTGTCATATCTAAATAAAAGAGAAGTACATGAATTAACCGAAATCAGGTTCAAATGAAAGTAATTTTAAGAATAGATAGATAAAAAAGGCTTAAAAATCGAAGTTACTATCTATACTAAGGTGCACCTTCCTTTTCCACGGCTCAATTATAAGAATTTCAAAATTAAACGTATTTTGATTGGAGCAATCCTATGTTAAGTAAAGTGTGAGTGTTAAAGGACTCGTGTTGATCTATAAAAATGTTCTTTACTCTAATAAGCGAGAAATACGTAATCTTCATCCTATCTCAGCCTTATAGGAATTTTACTAGGAAGTAAGTGAAAGACGATAGAACAAGAAATTGATACAAAATTCATATTAATTGTAATGAAATTTAAGTTAGATTCTATGTTTTTGAGTGATGATCTAAGCCCTCCTCCATATCCGAAGTCACAACGATCTCCAGTATCGGTTACCTAAGTTAAATATTCTGTTTTTATACGTTGGGTTGTGTTAGGTCGTAACCCAATTTTTAAGTCGGTTGGATTAAAAAAAAACATTAACCCACCATCTAAATTTTTTGTTTTCCAAAAATTCAACTCAATCCAGACCGAACAAATCTAACCTAATCTAATTTTTATAGTTTAAATTTAATATTCTATATCACAATAATGACTCTAATCAATTTAAACATAACTCAATTGATTAAAATATATATAATATTGAATTTAAAGAACGAAAAATAATAAATTCAAAGTTTATAGTAAAAAATACCATAAATATAAAAGTGGTAAGGAAGGAAGAACCATTGAATTAAAACTTTAAAGTCAAACATTTTTATTTTATTTTTTAAAATTTGACTAAAGTTTTTTTTTTTTTTTTCTTCGTTCATATTTGAGTTTCAAATGTTGATTTGAAAATAACTATAAAAAAATGTTTTAATTTGAAATATAAACATTTGTAATATTAAACTTTTCATTTTATTCTTAAAAAAAAATTCAAAAATCAAAATTATTAATTTAATCTTTATTTTATTACAAAATTTAAATAAAACTTAATTAACTTTCAATGTCAAAATTTTATAGATAAAATATTGATTTAATAAATAATTCAAAAATAAACAATAAAATATATATATTTAAATTAATAATAAACATTTTACAATTTTAAAATAAATGAAGTGTTCACATTTTGAATTTCTTTTTTATGTTTTATTGTTTTTTTTTTTTTACAACATAATTTTTAATATTTTAATGACGTTTTAATATTTCTTTGTACCCAAGCTAGAATTGAAAATTATTGGAGTCTTTAATTTAGAATTGCCCGAGTTGAGGACCTTTCATTGAACTAGATGACGATACTCATTTTATTCGTAAATATTGTCTGCTTTGACCCGTTACATATCATCGTTAGTCATATGATCTACCACTACTTCGGCCTGTATCTTATATCATCCGATGATGGATTCTGATACTATTTATAACAGTCCAAGCTCATTATTAGTAGATATTATTTATTTTGATCGATTATATATTATCATCACCCTCACGATTTAAAAACGAGTATGTTAAATGAGTTTTTCACACTCTTATGAATTATTTAGTTCCACCTTTAATATTAAAATATCTTTCTTTTTTTCCTCAATTATTTATAATCTTTTATTTTTTAATATTAAAACTCCACTTATATATATATATTAATTTTCTTTTAACGTAATTAGGTGATTCAATAATTATAGATTGATTACGTGGGCCAATACTATTGGAGGGTTGACTTATATAAAACCGGCTCCATTAATGTCTCCCTAAACTCGTGGATCTGATAATTACAATAACCGATTTTTTATTTTATTTTTATTTTATTTTTTACGTAAACTTATTTATTTATTTATTTATTTATTTATTATTTCCCCACTACATTCTTCGTTTCCACGTGGTAGAATATAATTTTAAAATGAAATCTCATACTCAAAACTCAATTAATGGTTGAATTTAATTGTATTAATTTCTTTTAAAAATTTTCATAAGTTTTAATTTGTGTTTTAAATTATTAAAGGTTTATAAAAAATTTAAGTTGAAATTAGTAGATTGATTATTGTCCACTTATAATAATTTTGTAATTAATTAATATTACTTACATGATTTTATGTATAATAAATTTAAAAAATATTTCAAAAGTAAATGTTTTATTGGTTTTTTTTTTATTTATTTATTTTAAATATGAATACTACGGCTCTAGTTTTATGAAAAAAGCCAAAGCCTCTAGCGGTCATTTAGGGGCCTTAGCTGGTGATCGGGGCGCTTTCGTTTTTATTAGAGAGATCCGGACCATAAAATTTTTGTCTCACTTTATCATTATTTACTAAAAGGTTAGAAATATATCTTCTTTCGACAGAAAGATATTTTGAATTTTATAACCACCAATAAGTTTTTTGGAAAAAAAAAAATGTTTAGAGTTAATAAATAACAAGAATTTTTTTAAAAAAAAAACTCAATAATAAGAAAAAAAATGTTTGGTCAAAATAATAATGATATTAACAATAATAGTCAAAGGTCATGGTGTGTATAGTTTTACTTTATTTTATTAAAAAAACACAATTGGGAACTATAGTCAAAGGATGTGATCTTAAATTATATTTCATATCAATTATTTATTTATTTAATTTTAATTTTTTTAAAGCTTAACAATTATGAACCGATATCAAATTAACGACTATTAAAGTAATCATACGGTAAAATATAACAATATTAACTCTAAGTTTAACTGGTTTAGACTTGTAACGGACTAAAATCGTGTCATACTAACTAAGTTATGTGTGTTGGTCAAGACACTCTTTCACTGCTAAATATAATTGGTAGTTCTCTAGAGCTCGTTACGGTAGCATCATAACATAGGATAACGGCTCACTACGTGTCAATTAATATATATATGTGAGCTAACTATAAATGTCTCTCAATCAATACTAGGGGAAATTGACAATCATAAAACGTCCCAACATAGTGCATCTTAATTGTGTTATAACACATACATAATCATGGGACAGCAATCTTACGTGCATACTAACTAGAAGATATAGAAGGGCGTGACTTTGTAACTATCAACTACTATGATACAAATGTGGACCTTGTCAATCTCGACCCTTCCTTCTTAGAGGTCAATTGAAAACCCTCTAACAGTCTCATACCTTAACCAACTACTACATACTCATGTGGACCCTTACCTTTAACTAGATAGGTGCATTATTAGAAGTTAGTAAGTGTCTCTATAACAGATCCCGCACACAAGTTCATTTTTCTTTTTATTTTACAGAAAACTTCTAGTCAAGCTTTAAAATTACACCAAAAATCAATATCATTAAAATCAGCTAAAAAATCAAAGAAAAATACAGTGAAATAGTCAAATTGAACTAGACCGATCTAACTTAACCGGACCAACTAGTTGAGCTAGTCAAAGAGATCTATACCCCTTCACATCAGTGTCTTTCATTTGTTTTTCAGATTATATGGTACATTATTTTCAGGATAATAATATGATAATTTTGCGCCAGTTTTTGAACTTTATTATATCATTTTTTTCAACCAGACCAATTTAGCTCAATAGTTATGACATAAAGATCTTCCAAATTTTATGTCGAAATGAATCACATAACGTTGTGGTCCTATGCATTAAATTTCTAACCTAAGACCACCATCGATCCTATTAATTGACAAACAAGTTGTTCACATGAATAAATAAATAAATAAAATGCTTTAATGATTTAATTATTTATTTTACCCAGCTATAAAGTTTTATTATAATTATAAAAAAAAATAGTTAAACTTGATATTTAGATTTGAGTTAAATAAATAATTGAAGTTAAAAACTTCTCATTTCTAATAAAAAAATTGAAAAAATATTTAAATTTTAGAATTAGTTGACTTTAAAGAATATCAAATAATGTTTAATGGGTTGACTTTTAAAAATAAGAATATATTAATAATCTATTAAACAAAGAAAAAAAAGTATAAAAACTAAAATGAACCAAGGTGTGACACTTCACTTCAGTAAATGGGAGGTATATGGATGAAACGACACTACATATGAACCAGAGCGATCTACGTATAAGATTATTAAGAAAAGGCTGAAATAGTTGAAAGTTACTGTCAACATGGTGTACCGTGTTTTGTTCAGATCAATTCTACATTGAGTGACATCCTAAAATGACTCATTTTGATATCTAACAGGACCATATGAATATAAAATAAAAACAGCAAATGGTATTAGTGGTATTAGTTTAACAAGAATAGTAATGCAAATGGTATTAGTTTTTATTTTTTATTGTCATATGGACTGATGTTCCATTCTAATATAAAAGGAAAAGAACATCAAATAAAACAATGATAAAAGAAGATTATATCTTCCTTCTGTGGCCTCCAATTCCATACTCAATTTTCCTCTGTTCTGCTCTGTTCTGCTCTGTTCTGATCTGCTCTGCTCTGCTTTCAATGGTGAGCACAAAAAAGCTCAGTTCCCTAATTGGACTCATCAAAGACAAAGCCTCTCAAAGCAAAGCTGCCCTTCTCGCCAAGCCCAACATCCTCTCCTTCCAACTCGCTCTACTCCGAGCCACTACCCACGACCCACACGCGCCGCCCATTCACAAGGACCTCTCTGTTCTTCTCTCTTTTGGCAAAACCTCACGCGCCACCGCTGCTGCTGCCCTTGAAGTCTTAATGGACCGTCTCCAGAGCACCCAAAACTCCGCCGTCGCCCTCAAGTGCCTAATCGCCATCCACCACATCGTCAAGAACGGCGACTTCATTCTACAAGACCAGCTCTCTGTTTTTCCCTTCACCGGCGGCAGAAATTACCTTAAACTCTCCGATTTCCGCGACAGTTCCAATCCGATTTCTTGGGAGCTTTCCTCTTGGGTTCGATGGTACGCCCAATACATCGAAACGGTTTTGTGTATTTCCCGAATTTTGGGGTTTTTTTTTGTGGGTTCTTCGAGTTCAAACGCAGAGAGGGAGAAAAAAACAGAGCAGATTTCGGGTTTTTTTAACTCCGATTTGCTTAAAGAAACCGAATCTCTTATGGGTTTGATCGAAGAAGTCTCGAAAATGCCTCACTGTTTGCATCTGAATGGAAACGGATTAGTGGATAAGATCTACGCCTTTGTCGGTGAGGATTACTTGTCGGCTACGAAGGAAATTTCAACCCGAGTTACTGAGTTTCGGCACCGACTCGGTTGCCTCAGTTTCGGCGAATCGGTGGAGTTGGTTTGCGCGTTGAAACGGCTGGAGGATTGCAAAGAAAAGCAATCGAGGGGTATTTCTGGAAATCACGAAATTTTATTGAAGGGATTTTGGGGTTCCATTAGAGAGATCAGGAATTTGATTGGGGAGTCCAAGGATCTTCGGGAGACCGGTAAATTGGGCCGGACGAAGAGCAGGATGAGCGACTCGGGCCGGTTTATGGACCAGGATAACGCTAAACTTGATCGCCACTCGGTTCGGTTCGGTTCGGAGCGGTTTGATTTCACCTGTAAAGGGATTCCGGTTCTTGGTATAACGGAATCATATTTGTTGCTTAAATGATTGTATTGTTTTAGAGAGACGGCGTTATTTTGTAATCATTTTTATTATTTTGTAGATAAGTTTTGTGTGGATAAAAAATTATATTTTTACCATATATTTAAAAAATTGTATCAATTTTACTGCGGCTTATTAATAATAATTATTATTTTAGTCTTAAACACGAACTTATTTTAATGCAAAAATTGTCAATAAAAATTAAAAATAGGGATTCCAATAGTCTCGATCCAAAAATTTATGCTTGAGTTAGATTTTTCAATTTGAGTTGCGTTGAATTTGCGGAATATAAAAAATTCGATTTGGTTTGTCTGACAAAGAATTTCGACACCTCAGGATCGTTATAGTTACAGCTGTCGTTCACCAGCTCCCTTGTCATCAGGTCACCAACTTCCTTAACCTTTCAACACTGGATAGGCATCAGCCCCCATACATGGTCTTACAACTTTGCAGCGACTTGTGTTTTTGGTAAACAATCTCTCAGGCTTGGTCACTACGACCCCCTTTGTGAGGAGACACCACTTCTCCCGTGTTATAAGTCTATTTTGTCGAGTTCCTTAAAGATAGTTGTCCGTGCCCCGAAGTATTCTCTACCTACCCACTTATGTTAGTTTCGGGTACAAGTACCCTTTTGTTGAAGGCCATTCAATAGGTTACTTTAGTGCCATAGCACCTAGTACTCAAACATTGGCTCAAGGTATTTTTTTCTACCCTTTCTTAGGGTGACATTTTTTATTTTGGTTCAACCCGACCAATCCAAAAATAGGGTTACAATCCAATCCAACTTTACTTTCAAAAAGATTAAGAATATTTAACGTTCGTAACCGATGTTAATGATGTGTTGTGACTTGTAAATGTTTGATATTTAACCTTCAAAATATTTTAGTTAATTAACCTAATATGCATGGTAGATAAATATAATTTTAAAAAAAATAATATGAACTCTATTTGAGTTACTCGGAACACTAATCACCCAACCCGCCTCATAATTTAGTTTAATTCCATTTGGGCTTGGGCTAAAAACAACCAAATAGGCCCAACTATGTGAACAATAGTCATTGATGATAGCTTGATAACCAGCCCAAAACCAAGCCCAATTTTGAGGTAATTTGAAAACAAAACAATAGTATTATTATTATTATTAAGTTACAAAATTCATTATGTTGGCTATTTAATAAACACCAATTCATAAATTTAATCATTTATAGAATTGATTAAATAACATATTTTTATTAAAAATTATTATTTACTCTAGAATATTCGCATTTAATTGATTGATGAGGTGGATGAATGGTGAAAGCGACGGAGTATAATCCCCTATGGCCTTACTCCCACACCGTTCATCGAAACTCAGATAAGGAAGTCTTTTTCGTCTTCATCTTTGCCTTTGGGTCACAATTCCTCTCGAGATTTAATGAAACAATTATGAATGGAATGGACGAGAGATATTCTCAAGTGGGGAGTGGTTATTTACGGGAGAGACTTTTGACAATTTATTCTTAAAATATTTAATCATTTATTTCTAAATTAATTAATTAGTTTTATTGTTTGATAACCCATTTTCAATCAAATAAACTCATCCTCTCAATATTTATTCATTTATTTATTTATTTTGTAAATAAAAAAAAAAAAAAACAAAACTTCCAATCTATTTTTGAAGTAAAAAAAAAAATAGAAATTATAAATAAAAAATAATAATTTTTCTTAGATATATTAAAAAAAAAAAGTCGTGGTAAATGGTCAACTAAATTTTGGTGTTCATAAACAGATTCCTGGGAAAAGCTAAGGGAAATCTGAAAAGGTTGAGATGGACAGTTTTGTTTTAATATTCTTTTTATATATATATATATATAAATTAATTAATTAAAGAGAAAATAAATAAATTGAAATATGGAAGAAATTAGGACGTCGCTTTCATCCTCACTGAAATTTCAGCTTTGGAATTTTGTCGTATTCACATTTCTTTAATTTAAATTAATTGATTCCTCTCGGCGTAGCTCACCAGCCGCCGTTTCAGCTCTTTATCAACTGCGCGGAATTACAACATTCTCCCTTCCAAATTTCTAATTTACCCATCACTATAGGGTCATTTTTGTCCATTTGCCCTTTTTTTCTTTTGTAATTTTTATTTCCTCCATTTCGAGATATTTTAAGCCTTAAAAAATGATTTTTTTTTATATTTCAAATTATTCAAAATCTTCCATTATTATTAATTTTTAAAGTAAAATAAAACAAATACCCCCATTAAATCCAAACCCTAATCAAAATTAGCTCCGGGAATTTGATTCAGATAGACTTATGCTTACCCGACAAAATAAGAAGTGTAAAGACTATATCAGCCAAAAATCGTGAACGAAATTTTTAAACGTTATTTATAGAAACATAACTCGCGGTTTTTTTTTTTTTTTTATAATGATTAAATGGAATATGAAAAGCAAAAGGGAGATAAAATATGATTAAGGTTGTTTTGTGACATAGAGAGAACCCTAATAGTGGAGCATACCACCAATTTGTAAGCTAACTTCTAAAATATTCTTTATCTAATTATATTTAATTTTTTTAATTGGTTTTAATTAGTATATTAATAATTTGGTCGATAAATAAATAAATAAATAAAAAGGAGAGAGAGATGCATAAATTGGGGGAGTGGGTGAATCAAACCATTTTTTTATGCATAAAAGCAAAATTAGAGTCTTTCAATTTGAATTTCCACTTTATATTTTAACCAACGAAGCATTGCCACGTGAAGAACTCGTATGAAGACATGTGTCACTTCTCGACTTCATGTGTATTGAGCAAAGGAAATGTTCGATACGAAGAATTTAAATTTTGGATGATTATAGAAGTAAATTATAAGAGCTTATTCTCAAAATGAATAATGTGACACAAGTGATATCAAAGTTATATCTTAATCAAGAAATGATAAGCTCTCAAACGATACAGTAATAGTAGAGATTTAGGGTTCCCCAAAAGGCCTCATACCAATGAAGAGTGTATTCTTAGATTATAAACCCATGATCATTCCCTAAATTAATCGATGTGGGACTTTCATCATCCAACAAACCCGACCAATTCGAAAATAGAGTTACAATCCAACCAAACTCTATCTACTTTTAAGATTATTATGTAAATAAAGAATATTTAACGTTATAACCAATATTTTAATGATGCATTGGAACTTAGGAATATTTGTGTGGTCGATAAATAAAATTTTGTAAAATAATTAAAAGAAATAATTCTCTAGACGTTAAAAAAAAATTAGAAAAAAAAAACATGAGCCTTGAGGTTGAAATTTGTTCTCATTCAAATTCCATGAGAATCTAAATAAATTAAATAAGTAAATAAAATATATTAATAACAATTTTTGTTTTTCTTCCGAAAGAAAACAAAGTCCAAAAGAGGGAATTGAGAGTTGTCACCAATCAAGAGGCTTCTTAGAAAAGCCACTCAATCCTATCCGTCCATCCGTTATTAATTTTTCATATTTTATTTCAAAAATATTTTTTATATTATAAAAAGATTTTTAAAAAGTTTTAATCTTTTGAAAATATTTTTAATTTTAAAAATATTAATAAGCTTTCAAAAAGTGAGATTAAAAAGAAAATAATCTATTGGTGTCAATAACAATTTCCAATCATTATTTTTAAAATTTTATTAATATTTTTTTAAACACACTATTATAAGTATAAGGGTAGTTTTGAAATTTTATTTAAAAACATATTTTTAGATTTTTTTAGTTTATGAATATTTTTATTAATTTAATATAATATTAAATAAACATATATTTAATAATTTAATAATTTATGAGAAAAAGGTAAGAGGGATTTGTAATTTGAATATAAAAAAAACAATTTTATTTTATATTTTTGTCCGTTTGTAGTGACGGTGACGTGTTTCTGTTTAAATGATACATGGGTCCCGCAATCACATGCCTGGCGTGGGGCCCACTCCTATCTTTTTGGTAGTATAGCTTTGAGAGTGGGTCCCATGCCTTTTCTTTTATTATTATTATTTATTTATTTATTTATTTATTTAAATAATAAGCAAAGTTGCGTTTCCAAACCCCTCTCTCTCTCTCTCTGTTTCCCCACCCCATACACTGCCTCCACTCTGAGGTGCAAACCTTCACACCAATTTAAAATAAAAATAACTAAATGACCAAAATGCCCTTTTCTTTCTCGTTCATATTCTAAAGCTTCAAATAAATTAAACGACTCTCCACAATGGTATGATATTGTCCACTTTGAGCATAAGCTCTCATGACTTTGCTTTGAGCTTCCCAAAAGGTCTCATACCAGTGAAGTTATTATTCCTCGTTTATAAATTCATGATCATTCCCTAAATTAGCGGATGTGTAAATATCAAAATGTTTTTAAATAGAAAAAGAAAAAGGAAAAAGGGGAATAGTATTATTATAGAAATAAAAATAAAAATTAAAATAAATGAAGGGAGAAAGGTGTAATTTAGAAGAAGAAGAAGAAGAAGGCGGGGAAAAAAATAGATATTTAGGAGAAACAGAGAGAGGTCCCATCACCGTACACGTGTACATGAAAGGGAGGTCAGAGAGTACGTACGCACAATCACTACAGCTTCAACCGCACAATACTAGACACGTCAGCGCCCATGTGCTCCTCTTTCTCTCTTACCCTCTCCCCCCTCCCTTGTTTAAATATAATTTATAAATTTTAATTAACTATTTTAAAATAAACAAATAAATATATTTTATTTTTATTAAAAACAAACCTAGAAATTTTATATGTTCTTTTAATTTTATGATTGAATTTAATTTATCGATGGATGATGGTCGACTATGCCATGTGATGGGATTCAATTAGAGTGGATGTACCATGTAATTTTGTTTTACATTAAAGATTGGTTTAAAAAATATAAATCTAGATTAATTAAAGAAAGAAAGAAAAAAGTGGTCTTGTTTGTGTGCAAGAAAAAGGCGATGAAGAGGGGTTGGGTTGGGTTGAAGTTGGCTTGACTTTTAGGGCATAAAGTTGGGGGAAGGTTTAGGGTGCTTTAAAAAAGTTGCGGCTCCCTATACACATGGTCGCTTTGTGTTTAACTCTAATACTATTTGTGACACCCTATTGGGAGTGAGTCCCACGTTAGCTAATTTAGAGAACGATCATAAGTTTATAGGTAAAGGAATAAATCTACTTGGCATGAAGCCTTTTGGGGAAGCCTAGAGAAAAGGCATAAGAGCTTATGCTCAGAAGAGTTTGATTCCAACCAAACCCACGAGAGCTTATACCAAAAGGAATAATATCATATCATTGTGGAGAGTCCTAATTCCTAACCACCTCAAGCAAACCATCTTGGAGAGTGAGCGATAATTCCTAACAAACCCAACGGAACTCATAGTAGATATTATCCATTTTAACCAATTATTTTAAAGTATTGTTTAGACGACGGCAAAAGAACGGACACTATGATTATTTCCACCAGTACATCATTTTCTAAACCCTATTTGATTTTCTCTCTTTTTTTTCTTTTTCTGGTTTTAATTTTTACAGCGTAGATTTCTGTTACGATCTCCTCATTTTCCATGGAAGAAGAAGAGGAAAAAAGGACCACCTCAATTTCTCCAATGTTTTCTCCAATTTCATCATCTTCTTCCTTCATCCCATTCATTTCCTTCATCATGACACACCCAAATTTCGAAATCTACTTTTTTTTCTGTTATTATTCTCTTCAATTCCGCCATGGATTCAGCTCCACCAGTGCAGAGTCGGAGCTTGCTCATCGGAAAAGAAGTTACAAGCCTCCTCTCCGCCAAAGAAGTTATGCTCCTCCATTTTCGGAAACATCATCTGGGTTTGTTGATACCCCTTTTGAAACTGCAAGTAATTCAGCGCCGTCGTCGCGCAGTTCAGTTTCACGCCAGCGGTGGCGATGGAGGGAGATGATGGAGGTATCTCTCCCGTCATGAAATGGTTGTTGTTCTGCAACACTCCCGGTGAAGAAACGCCGGCCGTCGGGCTGTAATCTTCGTTTAAAATCGCGCTCGAATCGCTGTCGGATGACCCATCTTTTGTTGGTGGCTCATCCCCTTCTCCGCCATTGTTGTTGAAGCTTCTCGCCGGTGGAACAGAGAAGTCATCGGTAATTTCCGGCTTAGTTTGTTCAATCAGAGCATTTTCAGAATCGGCCGGCGCCAACATCTCTGAGTTATCTTCTTGAATCTTTGCTTTCAATTCCCGAATCTGCTAACATAAATTTACAGAGTTCATAATGATTACAACATTTCTGAACCTTCAAAAAACAGGTGAGGGCTATAGTTTTTACCTCTTTGAGAAGAGCTTGATTATCATTTTGGAGAGCTTCAAAACTGAGTTTAAGATTGTCGTAATTGGTTTTAAGAACACCATAATCTCTTTCTAATTGCTTAGTTTTCCATCTAGCTCGACGATTTTGGAACCAAACAGCCACTTGTCGAGGCTGTAATCCAAGTTCTTGAGCAAGCTTCAATTTCCTCTCTGGTTCGAGCTTATTTTCAACTTCGAAATTCTTCTCTAACGACTTAACTTGCTCCACACCAAGTCGCCTTTTCTTCTCAGAAACATGCCCTAATTCTTCCTCATCAAACCCATCAAGCATACACTGGAATTCCATCTCATAAACATGGTTACTGTTCTTATTTCTCGGACTCTGTTCTTGATCTGTACACAAAATTGGCAAAGAATTACTCAAAAATCCATCGAATCTTGCAAAACCCAGAAAGGAAACAAGCCGATTGGTTGATTGACCATAAGTCGTAGGAGACAGAAAAAGAAACCCACATGGGTTTGTCTGTAAATTACAAGTACAAAAACAGAACGGAGAAGAAATTGGTGGTTTTAATGTAAACCTGATGTTGGGGAAATGGAGATGAGTGCAGCCATGGAATCTGATCGTCTCTTCATGATTGCGAATCAGCACAAAATTAAACACACAGAAAACTCAGAAAACGAAGACGATGATGATTTTAATGATTGTTCTTGGTTTGTTTTTCAAATGTCTGAACAATTTGTTGAACAGAGCTGCTCACAATCACTGTACAAATTGTTCCTTCTTCCTGCTTCATCATCATTGTTCTTCAAGATTTCTTCTCCCTCAGAACCCATTTTAGAAGATTACAGGCAATACCCAGAAGAAAGACGGATCAAATTAAGCAAAAAAAAACATGGAAATAGAAGAGAACTGGGAAGGATGATGATGAGTGAAGCTAGCAAGCCAGTTCAGAACCCAGTTGGCCTTCCTGCTTTCTCTCTCTTTAAATAAATCAAACTTGGGTTACAATTTGACTGCGGTTAGGTCATGCTGGAGTTCCCATTCCCATTTCCCAAATCCCAAATGAAATTAACTCTAAATTGCAATCCAAATGCAACTTTCTTCTCACCGGCTATATCTCGGCTCGGCTCGGCTCGGGCATCGGGATTTAAGCCGGTAAGATTTGGTTGGCGTCAGCGTATCGGGGGCCCGTCACAACGGAGTTGTCTGTCCAACTAATCGACAATCCCCAAATCCTGAACAAATTACTTGTTTTTTTTTACTCCTCCAATCGTGGGGTAATTTTTTTTTCCCCACAAATTACCGCCCTAGTAAAATCACATTTTACCATGCCACGACCCCGGCACACTCTTGTTCTAATTTGAAAAATATTTTTTAGAATATTTGGTGAAATTTGTGTTCGGGTTAGATATACATACAATCACAAAAAAAAAAAAATGATAAATCAAAGGATCTATAAATCACTAATCAATTTCCGTATACATTGTGAAAATAAAACTACAACTCCGTAGTCATTCTCATACACACAGATGGGTAATTACGACGATTCTCATATAACAGTACGATTTATCGTGTGCACAACATCATAGAAATTGACAATCAACTCATAGATCAACGACGTGCATACATATCTAGGTGGATTGAATTAAGATAAATAAACCTTGAGAATGAAATCAACATGAAAAATTGAGTTATACGGGTTTAGTTGAATCGAATTGATGACTTATTCATTGACTATTGACCCAGCGAACCATGACCGAACCAAATCCAACCCTTCGGTAAATGTTGGGAACCTTAAAATGTAATTTACCTTTGATTTTTTTCACTTTTTTTCACTTTACTCCTAAGAGTAACAGCTTGGAATGAAAGTTAAAAAGGCCATTTTTTTTTCCATAAAAATACAAGAATATTTTAAAGAGACATATAATTTATTTTTCTTTATTATCTATTTTTTTAATGGTTTGTTCGCACGTGCGACATCAAGTTAATGGTCACGTCAAGTTATTAACAAAAATGAGGCCTTTTATTTTCCTTCTTTATAAAATATACTAAACTACACGACTTTAGAACCAAACAAACCAATTAAAAGACAAAATAAATAATTTATTTATGAAGTTTGATTTTTTTTTTAATATTAACATTTAAAATATCTCTTTCTACTTCCCCTCATTTTTCGTTTAAATAAGAAGTCTTCTCGTTCAAGACAAGCTCCTACAGGACAATGCCTTTGTGCACATCCGTGTTGGATGATGAAAGTTACACATCGGTTAATTTAGGAAATGATCATCGGTTTATAAACAATGAATACTCTCTTCATTAGGCCTTTTGGAGAAGTCCAAAGCAAAGCCATAAGAATCTATGCTCAAGGTAGACAATATCATATCATTGTGGAGAGTCGTGTTCGTCTAACAATCCGAAGATAAAAATCAATATGTCATAATTTTAGGTCCCGTTATAGTCATAGCAGCATTAGCCATGATTTCATCGAGGCACTTACTCGATAATCCTAATAAACTCGAGATTAAAAGACGGGTATTTAAAAAACAATAATAGGGAAATAAAAATGGTAAAATTAGGTGATATGAGTAGGGTAAAGTGTGATGTTATGTTAAGCTATATATGTTACCAACCAAATTACAACCATGCATTCCCTTTTTTTTTGGTTGTTTTTTGTGCTTAGAAGCATGCATCTAATTAAATGCCATTAATTATAGGAATGAATATTTCCTTTTTCGGACAATAAATTAATCTAAAATTATATATTCTTCAAATTTTCAAAAAAATTTAAATTTATAATTATTTTTCAACATTTTAAAATATTTTTAAAATACCTAATTTAAGTTTTGAAAAAAAAAAAAAAACTAATTTTTTCATAAATTTCACTTTTAAATTCTATTACAAAAAATCAAAAATAGGTATTAATAAAAAAAATTAAAATTTAAGGGTATTTTTGAAATAAAATATTAACCATCTTCCAGTCAAAACTAACATTTATTCAAATTTTTTAAAATATTTTTTTATTAATTTAATTTTTTTTTAATGTTCATATTACATTTATAACATGATCTTACAGAAAACATTCCTTTAAAATATTTTATAATGACGTCACAAACTTAAACGTTTATAATAAAGTCGCTAAAACAATATAGCATAAATGAGAAGATAAAATATTGTCGTGATCTAACTTAAAGACTACAAAAAAAAATAACATAAATGCATCTACACTAATTTCAGTTTTATAGTTGTTACTGTAACGTAGTTATTCATACAAAAGTATTTTATATTTACCTAAAAAATAAGAGTAACACGTGACTTGAGTATTTTAATAAATAATTAGTACGTATATTATTAGTCTCACCGTTCTTGAGTTTCTTCTGCCAACTTCCTAATGTGCAAGCTTGTTCTCTCGGCCTGAAAATTAATCAATTTTAACCCAATAAAGTTAATATATAAATATAAATATATATATTTTGATAAATGTTTAGGGTTTCATTAGACATTAAATTTAAAAATATATAAATTAATTTCAAGACTTATATAATTTAATCTTAATAATTTTATAAATTAAGTCCGGGTTTAATGATATTAATGATACTTTTTAAATTTTAAGAGTATTTTTGAAATAAAATATTAATAGTTTCTTATTCTCTTAAAAGATACCTCTCGATCCCAATCGCATCGAATGGTCATAATGCATAATACTAGCGTTTGAATTGCGGTTCCACCAAATATCATTCCGGCCCATATACCCTAATTTTCAACACATCATTAGTAACGTAAAAACGTTATGCTATAGAAAGAATGAATAAGAAGAATACCATAACTCCTTGGTTGAAGCTCCAACCCATCACAATCCCAAAAGGTAATCCAATAAGGTAATAGCAACCTAAGTTAACATACGCAACGTATGATTGCCATCCCGAACCAACTGCCACGCCTGCTCGAAATGAATGTTCAATTATACAAAATATTCTTCACCTTCCTACTTTTTTATAGAATATGTGTTTGATCGTTCAAAAGTTTCGTTAATCTCTTAAATTTTGTTAGATGAACACAAAACTTTTTAAATTCGTTTTTGAAAGATTAACGTACCCGAAAGAACGGGTTGAATGCTGTTGAGAAGGATGGTGAAAGCCAAGAGGATGGATAGCTTGTTTACTTCTTTTAGAACCACTTGACTAGAAGTGAATATCAAAGCAATCTGAGTGTCGAATGTGATAATGATTATCCAAAAAAACAGCCCAATTATGATCGATGTCCCCACCGCCACCATTGTTGCAAACCTTGCTCCTTTCCCATTTCCATCTCCCAGCTCATTTGCTACCCTCACTCTATGAACACGTTAATAAGAAACGACATCTTTATTGGTATAAAATATTTCGGTTTGACTGACACTAAGATTAATAAAAATTTAGTCTAAAGTGGACAATACCATATCATTATAGAGACATGTGGATGGTTCTATTGTTCGTAATTGTAATAGCTCAAGTTCACCGCTTGAAGATATTGTCCGCTTTGACTCATTATATATTGCCGTCGACCTTACAGTTTTAAAACGCGTCTATTAAGAAAAGTTTTCTGCTTCCTATAAGGAATGATTTGTTCTTCTCTCCAACTAACGTGGGATCTCACATGGGTCGAGCGTCTTTGTTGACATATCGCATGATATTTGACTCTGATACTATTTGTAACCACCCAAACCCACCGCTAACAAATATTGTTCACTTTGATCCATTACATATCGCGTTCGTTCCCCTCTCCAACCAATGTGGGGCAAAGACTATTGTGAGATTTTACCTTCGTTGGAGAGGAGAACAAATCATTCCTTATAGAGGTGTGGGAGCCTCTCCCTGATAGACGCGTTCTAAAACTATGAAGTTGACAACGACATGTAATGGGTCAAAACTAACAATATCTGCCAGTAGTGACTTGGGGTGTTACAAATGGTATCAGAGCCAGTCATCGGACGGTGCGAGGCACTAGTCGGAGTAGGGCTAGACCCTTTACATAGTGGCACGTTTTAAAACCACGAAGTTGACGACAATATGTAACGAGCCAAAATAAATAATATCTACTAGTGATAGGCTTGCGTTGTTACAACAATAACACTCCCGTTCAATGTATTATGCAAAAAGAAATCAAAAGATAGATTAGAAGTTGAATCATGCATTGTATTATTATCATCTTTATTGGTACGAAAAGGCTAAAGCTAGAGATATATATATAAACACCTTTTGTTTTGTGTCTAAACCTTTCTCCACTAAATTAGAAGGGTGATTTTTGTGTTTAATATGCTACCAAACACCCTATTTATCATTTCATGAATATTAATATAACAGTTATGAAATATATATATTCATAATCAATTAATTATTTTATTTTTTTAAATCTGTATTTTATGAGTAATAATATTTTCATATTTATTCACACTTTTAAGAGTAGATATTGTGTCAGAATCTAATCAAACTTATTTAAGTTTCAAGGTTGATTCATAAATTAAATTTTTAAATTTATATTTAACACCCGACTTATTCAACATTTTAAAATAAATATTATATTAACAGATCCATTAAAACGGTACATACAATTTTTTTGAATAAGATATATATATATATATAGATATAAATATAATTTGTTTTTATAGTTTGTTCTAAAAAAATATAAGAAAAAATAAACCAAAATGACATATTAAACCCTGACTTTGATCTAAAAAAAACAAAAAGAAAATAAATAAATAAATAAAATGTAGATAAGGATGGGTTTGGAAGGATGCTGTTTGGCACATGCGATGTCATTACTAAAATAAGACAAGTGACTAAGAATTTGCACATAAATAGTAAAATAAAACGAGGAAGGAAGGGGCATATAAGTAAAATTACCCGGAGCCGGCGAAGAACGCAAATGGGATCATCATTTCCCAGCCGTTGATCGTCATGCTGCGTTAAATTAATAGGAAATGTGGGGTGTTGTGATCAAATTCATAGAACAAAGAGACAACACAAATTGAAAAGATGTTTTAATCTAACCTTGTTATACATAAATGAATGTCCAACTACATTCATCAATTTTCGATTTTTTATTCCTTTTAAGTCTAATAAGAAACTTATTAATACCGGGTGTATACGGTTGGACTCCAGAAATTTTGAGTTGGTTGAGTTTGGGTCTATTATATCCACGTCAACCTCACACGCTCTTGTAAGCAGTGCTTCCTTGCTCCCTCCAACCGATGTGGGATCTCACAATCCACCCCCCTTTGGGAGCCCAGCGTTCTCACTAGCACACCGCTCGGTGTTTGACCCTGATACCATTTGTAACAGCCCAAACTCACTGCGAGTAGATATTCTCCGTTTGACTTATTACGTATCGCCATCAATTCCTCATGATTTTAAAATGCATATTTTAGAGAAATGTTTTAATACATTTGTAAGAAATGTTTCATTCCCCCCTTCATCTAATGTGGAATCTCACATGAACCCAGTAGGGTTCACATCTAACTCAACCAAACTCTCTAGCTTTAGTTGGGTTGGGTAATGAAGTCACAACACAAAGGGTCAAACCAAATTTTCAATTTTCTAAAAATTCAACCTCAATTCAATTGAAAAATCAAATTGAACTCAACTCAACTCAACCCTTATGATTTGAGTTTGATAGCAAGAATTTTCAAGTCACAAGAACACCCCTACCTACTGGACACGGATTGGTAACGGATTTAGTTGCAAGTAGCAATAAGGAAATGAATAATACAACCAAAAATTGAGTGTTCTTTGTTTAGGAGGAATTGCACAAACAATGGATACTAAACAAATGACAACAGGGTTAGATTTGTTACCATACAGACAAAGCATCCACTGCGAGCTTAGCATTCTCCAGATTCCCAGTCATCACTATCAATATTCTGTAATACCAATTCTCCAAACTGCAAAACATTTCAATAACTCAAAGTCAAATCAATGACAAACAAAAACACAAACCCAATGAGAGAAAATGGAGTAAACCAGAGCATGATTCCTGAAGCAGCCGACAATTTAACGAACTCCCAGAGCCCAGAAAAAGCTTCAACGGAGAACCCAGGCCAGGTGAGAGGGCAGCCACCGCAGACGGCGTAAAAAAAAAGCCCCAAAACCAAAACCCACCACGAAATATTGGTGGTAATGGCGGTTCCGACAAGCCCAAGCTCCAGATTATAAACAAGCAACCAGCTGACCAAAACGTGCACCACCAACGCCACCAGCGAAACATAAGCAATCACCGCTGTCTTTAACTGACTCTGTAGGAACCTCTGTACAGGAAATTGAATAGCAAAGCTGAAATGCAAAGGCACTAATAGCGCCGCCACTTTCCCTGCAAGCTCTGCCAAATCCGGCGGCTGCCCAAGAAGCAACAGAGCAGGGGTTGCAAATAAATAAATGGGCAAAATTAAAACAGAGCAAATGAACAGAACAATCCAAGAACGCTGCATGTAAATCCCCAACATGTGGAATTTCTTGGCTCCATAAGCTTGCCCACAAAGCGTCTCTAAGGCGCTGGCCATCCCCAACTGGAAAACGACGAATTAATTTCGTAGAAATCATAATATTGTCCACTTTGAGTATAAGCTCCGAGGAAATTACCAAGAGGCCGAAATCGAAGCCGACAATGACATTATTGGCGATGGACATTGCGGCAAGCTCAAGGTCGCCCAAATGGCCGGCGAAGGCTTGGGTGATGACCAACATGGAGTAGGAGGCGAGGCGGCTGAAGATGGCTGGACCGACGATGTGCCAGAGCTTTTGGGACTCGACCCAAATCCTTGTCGGGAGAGCTCCATTGCCATTGTCCTCAGGCTTTGATTGCAAAAGGGGTACGGTGGATTCCTGTTCTATGATGTTTGTAGCCATTTTAAGAGAGAAAGAAAGAGATGGAAGGAGAATAAATAGAGAAAAGAAGCTGTGTAAGGCATATTTGTACAACTAAAGATGGCGGCTGCTGACGGCCGACGGCTGAGGCTGCCCGTTTTTTCAACGCCTCCTTGGACACCAAGTCTAAGTTTCCCAAGTACAAATGAAAAATTAGGAGATTTCACGTTTGGTTGAGTGGAGAATGAAACATTTTTTATAAAGGTGTGAAAGACCTATTTTAAAATCGTGAAACTAACCGTTATACATAACAGGATAAAACGAACAATAACTACTAACAACAGTAGATGTGAGCTATTACAAATTTTTTCATTCGAATAGAAAATGAAAGAAATATTCATAATAATTAAATGAGTCTAGAAACATATATTATATTAATCGTCGGGTTAACAATTTTGAATCGTAATTTAAATGTAATATTTAAATTGATTGTTTTGAAATGAGTCTGTGTATATGTGTTTATTTGTTGGATATGCATAGTTTTATAATAATATTTTTATAACATTTTTTATTATGAATTATATTAAATATTACCATTCGGGACGTCGATGAATAATTTTTTTTAATGATTATAGATTAATTTATGTTTGTGAATCTTTAATATATTTTATGTAAGATTATATTAAATTATTATGAACCGTAGATAAATGGAAGTTCTCAAAAAAAAATTATTTTTTTTACGACCTAATAATCCAACCCATAAATAGGGAGGAGGATTGGGTTACCAATTCAACCAATCAAACCGGCTCATGGACACCCTTAAAACCACCCTTAGACAACTCAACTTCACACTCAAATCTATTGGCTCAACTTTAAGGTCTTTTCTTTCTTTCATCTTTGACTTGCCAATCTAGGTCTAGTGTCGGGATCATGCTTGTAGGCATCTTACCCATGGCCGCATACTCGTTGCATGCTAAACCTCTTGTGTTGTATCACTTTACTCATTTCCATTACTACTTTCACTGTCAAACCCTATGTGACTAGTCGTCAATTCTTTTTACTACTAAATTATATATTATCTAAGCCGTTGTGTTGCCTTTCTCATTTATAGTCTATGACTTTGTTTTCAACCTTCCTTTCAAACTCTCTTTCAAAAATTTCCTTTCCATCATTTTTTAAAACGTTCTTATCAAACATGAGTCAGAGGCTTGAGCATACGTCATCCAATTATAGGCAACACGATTTTGAATTAGTTGACTAACACGAAGTTGAGAGCGAGTACTGCACAATCGCTTATAAACATCCTGCCCCAGGACGTCCTACTACAGTCGCACAAGTAAACTAGACCTATTTTAGATTTGAGATGAGAAACATTATAGAACGTATAGAGCAATTTCATTCAAAATCTATCAGATCTAAAACGTCTTGTTCTAGATTTATCGGACCTGGAATATTTTATTTTATATCTAAAAAAAATGGTAGTAATTTGTTCCAGATCTGGAGAAACTTTTACTCTGTTTTAATGCAAATTCATTATGCAAATGCTGAATAAATGTTTTGTAATATTTGAAACAATCATAAATGTATGAATGTTTATTGAAGATAATTGGATGTACACTATGATATGTAACCAACAATTAGAATAATGAATCACCGAAGAACAACAACAAATCAATAATCAAACTCCAAATCCACAAAACATACACCAAATTTTAAGCAAAGAACACTACATCAATTTCAATTTTAAATTCCCTCAACAAATCTATCTAAGCAAACACCATTGCCAACAGAGCTCCTGCCACAGCACCGCCCACCATCACTCCCCGGCTTACCGTGGCTGCGCCGTTGTCTCCCGGTGGAGGTGGCGGCGAGTTGGGTCCAGGGCTAGCGGACGGGACCATTCCTTCCGAGGGTGGTGATGGCGGCGAAGCAGAGGATGGAGTCGGAGATGAGGCCGGACCTTCCTTTGGTGGTGGGGTTGGTGATGTAGGAGGTGAAGCTGGTGGTTGGGTCGGTGGGGATGATGGTGGTTGGCTAGGAGGTGGGGTCACGGCTGGTGGAGGAGTGGCGGGAGGTGGGGTTGCAGCCGGTGGTGGAGTGGCGGGAGCGACTACTGGGGGAGGAGTAGACGGCGGAGGAACGGCCGGAGTGGTGGGTGGCTGAGCCGGAGCAGCGCCGGGAGCCTGAGCCATTGAAGAAGTGGCAAATAAGGCCAAAACCATTACAAATTGAAAACCCATCTTCATCTCTCTCTGGGAAGTTGAAATGAAAAGCAATAGCAAAGATATATATTTATATAAACAAAAAAGAAAGAAATTAAATAAATAAATAAATAAATAAAAGAGAGTGATGACGTGGAAGGCTTCAAACACAGCCTTCTCTTCCCCCAATAATGCTTCAGATTCCCCAATTGTCTTCCTTTTCATTTTTTTAATCATTTTTTCTCTTATAATTCATAATTACATTCATTAAAAAAATAATTTACTCTTTCCAATTACTTTTTAATCATAAAAAGGTCCTCTAATTTTAAATTTTATATTACACATCTTCGAGGAACCCATGTGCACCGAACGACTTGTAACGGATACTTCAAGGGGTATGATGGTAATTTTGAACTCGAGCGTTCGTCTCGATATTAATGAGGGTAGATCTAACAAATTAGATTTACGAATGTGTTATTTTTTCAATGGCCGAGATGTTCATCGGTTGACTACTCCTTCCCTCGTTTCTAAGTCTATTTTGTCGTTTAATTAGTAATGTTACATCTTTTAAAAATAAGTTAGTGGCAGGCATGAACAATAAAGATAAAAATCGTGTATTTATTACTTTAATTAATTACAAATAAATATAATTTGCACAAAATGGACACAACATACGGGCTAGATTGTAACATTCACAGCACCCATTGTTAATCTTTTAATTTCGGTATTATTAGAAAATAAATAATATTAATAGGTGGTAAAATTACAAGAATACCCTTATAGTGGACACGTGTTGGATTATGAGAGGCGGGAATTGGGTAAAATATAAAAAAGATAAAATAATAGGGAGAGGGTGTACAGTCTGTCTCCTCCTCGGGTTGACAAATTCTCAACAACTCTTTGGCGTGGTGTTGACGAATTGACGAAAATACCCCTGGCACCCTCAAATTTCAACACTGATTGGATATAGCCAGCCAATTACAGCTACTAATCCAACAACGAGGGTGGATGATCGATCACCAAACGGGAATATTTTTATTCAAAGATAATAACGTGGACACGTGGCAGACACCCATTTCTTTATTGTTACCCACGTTCTTTGGGTCCCACTTCCGCTTGTTTTTGTTTAATTTCAAACCAATAATAAAATACATCTCCCCATCACATTTCTTCCAAATTCAATTTTTTTTTTTGGTGGGTAAAAAAATGATTTTCATAATGGTCATGTGAAGCTTCTTCCTACATTGTTAGAATTCATTCAAATATGGATGAACGTTTAGTACTATACTCATTTTCTCTCTAATAACAATTTATTGAGAAAGCCAATAATCTTATCATAATAAGAACCGAGATCATGAAAGCCTTAAATGAAAAATTATTAAATTATTTTATTCCACAAATAAATAGCGATGAATGAAAGTAAGTCCATATAAGTTCGAATCCTCCTCACCTCGTATTTGTGAGGTAGTATACCTTATTATATCTCAAGAAAGTGTATGAATGATGTTCTTGCTATTGCTCTTTAGCTTTGAGGGATGATAAGCGCCTTCGAATTTTGAGGTATCCAAATTTACCAGCACCAGGGGAAGAACCATCAAACACATATGGCAAGAACCCTGTTGCTCCTTTGTATCTTTGCTGTATCTGAATCACCAATTAAAGCTTACAAGAATCAAATAAACAACCATATGGGGAGGGAACAGAGGAAGTGCAGAAGGAAGAAAGACAAGAGACCTCGATGATTTGGTGGCTGCTGCTTAAGGAGTTTCGACCCATTACGCAGACGGTTCCACCGGAGCCCCCACCGGTAATCTTTGCTCCATACAATGTCCCATCTTCGGATTTGGATACCTTCGAGTGCTGCATGTCTTGAACCAATTGGACGAGCCTGTCCGTCCCATCCGAACCCAGCCCACATGCACTGTAACTATAATGGCACTGCGCTCCAACCACAATACAAATATTACCATTTTTATTTGGTTTTTTCAATTAGAAAACTTTTGTAACAGTTGGCATATATATGGTAGTACCTGATACAGCAATTCTCCAAGAGATGTAAGTTGGTCGTCAGAAGTGGCAGATGTGAGCAGCGCTTTGAAGGCCTTCAAATCCAAGCCATAACCATATTCAACATCCACCAATCAATCAATCATATGTATAATAGATATTGTCTGGTTTGGTTTATTACGTATCGCTATCAACCTCGCGGTTTTAAAATCTATCTACTATGGAGAGTTTTCTACACCCTTGTAAGGAGTGTTTCGTTCTCCTCTCCAACCGATGTGGGATCTCACAATTCACCCCGCTTGGGGGCTCAGCGTCCTCACTGGTGGTGTATGGCTCTGATACCATTTGTAATAGGTCAAGCCCATCACTAGTAGATATTGTCTGCTTTTGCCCATTACGTATCGCCGTCAGCCTCATGATTTTAAAATGTGTCTACTATGGAGAGTACTTGAAATTGCAAAATGTAAATGCCAATGCAAATGCAAACCTTGACACGGAAATTCTCATAGATAGGATGACGAGCAGAGGCCCTGACTCCATAAACCCTCTTTGGATTGATCACCGTAACAGCATCGTTATGATCCGAATATTTCTCGACAAAAGCCTCCCCTGTTATCGTCTCTGGCAGCTGCTTGACGTACATGGCTTCATAGCGGTGAGGCGGGAGATTGCATAGATAATCTAAGGAGGATTCGGCTTCCAGTAATTCGATGCCGTCGTCCTCCAAGTCATCCTGGCTTATGCAATTGGCCGGTGATGAGCAGTTTGATAACAACTCCAATGCTCTTGACTTTATCATTCTCCGCCCCATGAATGCTCCAATTCTAACTGACCCATAGTCCGCCCCACCAACGCTGCACCACCAACAATGAAGATTAACAACTATTTGATGTTTTCTGTCTTTTGAAAATAGAACACTTTGTAAAGATAGAATTTAGAAAGACAAAGTTTAAGGGGGGGAAGGTTAGAAAGATGACATTGAAGAAAGAAAGAAAACTAAAAGACTTGGAAGAAAAGAAAAATAGAGAAAAAAAGTTGAGAGAAACAAATTAAAAGTAAGAAAGAAAAAGCTAAAAGTTGGAAAGAGCCAAAGAGGTATGATAGAGAGAATATATTAAAAACAGAACAACTTATCAAGGAAAAGAAAAGTTGATATAAAGAGGAAAAAGGTAAACTTTTTTAAACACATAAACCTACTTCTAACACTTGATAAAAAAAACATTGAAGAATCAAAGTAATTGGCAAAAAAAAGTGAATAAAATTGACAAAAAGATGTAAAGATACCTGTGTCGAATTCCTGAATCGATTCCCCAAAATCGAATGTGACGAGGTATGTCAACCAGCCCAATCACCTCCGCAGGCTGAAAAACAAAACGAAATCCAATTCCAATACACGTTAGTATTAGTATTACCCTGTATAATTATTTGCGAGCTGCAGGCTTGTATATTAGTGAAAAACTGCTTAAAAGGCCCTATATGGGGTCGCTGTTAATGAAATATATGAAAAATGGTCTCTAGGTATTTCAGAACCCTTCCTCCCTCGGACGGCAAAACCTATATGTTCATGGACACCTTCGGTGTCTCCTCACAAAGGGGTCGCTGGGACCTGGCCCAGCCTAGGAGGAGTGGGCTGTGTGTCAAAAAGATCCCACGTTGAGTAAGAAAAGCTCATCATCATTCTCGAGCCATCTTTTGTAAATTTTGAAGAACATGATGCTTCTTCTGGTTTAGGTTTAATGGAGCGTTGATTGGACGGGATATTATGATATCATACCTGACACACCATTGCTAGCAGTTTATCAGCTTCACCACACGCGGACGTCATCTGGTCCATCACTCCACATGGTGCTCCAACTATGTGATTCTCCACCTAGTAAATTAACGTTTTGAACACTACTTAGTTCTTTAAAAGAAACAAAAAGACTATATACAGATAGTATAATTTGTTGACGATTGTTGGAAGAGGAATCTCACGTCGGCTAATTAAGGAACTGATCATGGGTTTATAAGTAGAAATATATCTCCGTTGGTATGAGGTCTTTTTTGGAACCCAAAAGCAAAGCCAAGAGAGCTTAGACTTAAAAGGGACAACAATATCAAACTATTGTGAAAAGTCATAATTTATAACATGGTATTAGAGTCGTGTCTTAACTTAGTCATGTCAATAAAATCTTCAAACGTCAAACAAAGAAGTTGGGACCTTTGAAAGTTTAGTCAAAAGTGACTCGAGTGCCAAACAAAGTACTTTGTTTGAGGGCTCCAGAGAAGGAGTCGAGCCTCGATTAAGGGAAGGGAGGCTGTTTGAGGGCTCCATAGACCTCGGGAGTGGCTCTATGGTGTACTTTGTTCAAGGGGAGGATTGTTGAAAAAGGAGTCCCACATCAATTAAGGGAATGATCATGAGTTTATAAATAAGGAATATATCTCTATTGGTATGAGGCATTTTGGAGAACCCAAAAATAAAGCCATGAGAGCATATGCTCAAGTAGACAATATCATATCATTATGGAGAGTCCGTGATTCCTAATTGAACAAAATCAACCTCAGTTTTAAAGTTCATACCTTTTGACAAAGCAGTGCCAGATCTCTTGGACTGATACTTAATCCTGCAATATTTTCCCATTTCATTCTATTTCATTCATTGTCAAATGCCTACTCCATACAAGGCAAAGGTTCTAGAAATTACCATGAGCAGCAGCTATGGCAGACATTGAAGCAACCTCCACCGATGCTGATGACGATACACCCTTACCTTCGGGGACTGACGACGAAACCTGTCCCATATTAAATGGGGTCAATGACCAAGAACAATTAGAACATCCATCCTGAATGGTGGAGAAATCTCCAAAGTTGAAGGAAAAACTTATCTAAAACCTTTCTTATTAAGTAATATGTCAAAAGACCCTAAAACTATCCCACATATCACATTTTCTTTTAGAAAAGATAATACTTTGGGCAAAATAATTAACACAATTTGTTTTGCCTACCAGCAAGCTGATGCTATCTTCAAAACGAACACCCAACTCCTTCATTAAAACCAATATGGTGCCTGCAATGTATGCTGCCCATTTCTGTGCAGGATCTTGAGCAAAATATTTCCTTGCTTTCTCATATGACATTGACTTATCCCCATCCATGAAGTCCGACAAATCCATGTCGAACGTCGGGGCACGGTTACTCAACTCAGACCCATACGACACCTAATCAAGTAGAGAAAATAATGATTAATGAGAAAACGAAAGGAAGATAAGTCCATGGTGATTAACATTACGACTTACAATTTGAAGAACAGGTTTGGACCCTTCTCCTTTGGCATTCTGGCGAGCCTGAGCGTGTTTCCAGAGGCGGTGCTTAGTCGGATGGTTTCTTTGCACAGCTACATGGCATGCTTCTCTTATAGGCATCTACAACAACAAAAGAGAGAGGGAAAGAGCATGTTAGAATCGCTACTATAAATAAGGAATAAGTATTTGAAGATTGAGAACAAAAGTGTAACTTTACCTGAAGAACAAGACTTCCTGAGTAGTCAGCAATGCCTCCCATGACATCCAATCTTCCTGGAGCTCTCGTCACAAAAATATCTTCCTGTATACACAAATATACATATAATAAGTATTCCCATTTAATCCTCACCAAAAATAAATAACAACAAAGACAACAAAATTGCAACCTCCCAATTAAAAAGCCCAGCAGCAGCCTTCCTCTCTCGCATTTGGCGTTTCTCAGCGTTTCCCTTATCATATACTGAGTCCAATTCAGCTAGGTTCTTTAAGAAACTCATTGTATCAGAAAGACCTTGAACATCTCCATGAAGCACATCAAAGTCTTCCATATATCTATTAAAAGTCATGATCATACAACAACAGATTATTAGATTAAAAAACAAGAATCTACCTGTTTTCAAGATAAAACTACATTTCAAGTTCAAAAAGTTCTCACGATTCCATGTGAGAGCCCCTCCCTTCTACAGATAATGGTGGTGACGAAAGACCAAGTTCACTTTCAGCATTGGCATACCAATCTGGAATGCATAGATCTCGTCCTGGGACCCTTTGGAGTTGATAACCAAGAACTATAGCATCCCTCAATCTTCTAGCTCCACTAAACTATAGAGAAAAATGAGAATAACACAAGATGTTTCATACACCAACCATATGCAAACAAAAAATTTCACTCGGCTACGGAAATAATCGTCATTACGAGTGATAAAAAACGAGTACACTAAAGTTGATTTTGACCTTATCTGATGTATAGTTTTTGCCACTGGCTGTCTCCTGCAAGATATGAGCTGCAACCTAAACTTTTCAAGGAGAGAATTAGAAACTAGAACAATCGTACCCCATGAACGAAAAAGGAGAAGCGCTTCATCTTTATTGATGGAAAAAGGTAGACAAACCAAATAGAATCGAGAAGAACTGCTATGAACATGCTGATACAGTGTGTAGAAGACCATACCTCACCACCATTGGTGCCACCCTCATAGCAAGGTTTCAAACTAATTGCGCGTTCGAGATACGGTTTCCAATGACCTGTGAGTAGGTCCCTTCTTATCATCTCAACTCCACTTTGATAATACTGCTCATGAGATGATGAAATATTTAGATTATGAACAACCAGAATACATGGAGTACACATTAGAAGACAGCGATCCAATTTCACCTCAAGCATATTCCTAAGGAATGGCTCTTCGTTAAAATAGTCACGACGAACAAAGACAAAGGGTAATTTGAATGCCAATGCTTCACTGACAGTTCCATATCCAATTTTGCCTGAAAGAACGGTAAGAATATTAATCTACCTCTGTTAATCCAATTAAGCTCAGGGACCAACAACTGACGAAATTATTCATAACTCACCAAGCATACAATCAGAAGCAGCTATTAGATCAGGTGTATATGCATCTTTTGCAAGTTTGATAAAATTTGGTGGAACTTCCTCAGTTTCGGAAGCACCGCAAACCTGAACCAATCATCAAAATGCCACAATGTCGTGTTGGTGATCACAGAATCACCTAACTATCTTATGAAAATGATGGAAATAAGATGTTCAAAAGATACCAGACACAGCCAGCCGGGGGGCAAGTATTCCTCTTTTAACTTCCAGCCGGCAGGCTGCCAGTGAGATAGACAAAAACAAGAAAGGGAAAAGCTAATAAGTTTATAAGGCTACATTTGAAATTTTATCTTGCTCAAAAGCGAAAGCTGTTATACCGTCTTTGCAGGCATCTCAATTTCATAAAAGAAAGCAATGAAAGCATTAATACTGAGACAAACCTGGCCCCCGAAATTGAGGATAACTAACTTTGTATCTTCTCCAATTCCAAGCTCTTTTCTGACCTATAATAATGAATCAAGACAGCGTTAATGACTTAAAATGATCAAGAGATTTAACAGAACTCCACAAGACAGTACCTCCTTGCGCTGCTTATGAAGCCTTCTAACAACTAGAGGTACATCAACGATGTCGCGAAAAGCAGGCACTGCAAAAGGTGGATGTGTTGTATAGTTATAAATGTAAAGAAGAGAATAC